TATAAATATATATATTTTCAAAGTGTCCCAATCTATTTATGATTCTGCTATGGAATTATAATCTCTGCACTTAGTTTCAACTTCAATGGTCTCCTTGCGTACTTTATAACATTACTTTCTTCTTGAATCATCGGAAACAACAGAGAGATATCCACCATAATTATTTTGTTCTGGAAAGAAACCAAAATCAATCAATTACTCATATTTCATGCCCACTAAAGTAAACACCAAGGTCGTTAATCTATGATTATGATACAATTTGCTTTGAAATTTCTAGTGTTTCCTTGAAAAATCGGCAGTTAATGGTTCTTTAAGATATAGGTAAATAGGAAAGAGATAATAAATTATTCTCAATTAATCATGATGTTTCAAATTTGTTTGATAAAGATAGGTTCATTAACTATTTGAACTTTCTAGAAAATGACATGTTTTCGTATTTTGCGATTTACAAAAATTTATAAAAATTAATTTTAAATAGTGGGTTAGGAAAAGGGTTGCACAAGAAAGTGGTGTATGTTATGCTTCATAGCGATTGAGCTAATTTTCTTTTATGCCAAATTAATTATAAATATTTGTAATCGATTTTATATTTCTGTTTTTATAATTTAGACTTTCTATACACTCACACCACCAAACAAACAGATCTATGAGATAGCGCAGAGAAAAACATAATTCAATTAATAACATAAGGAATAAAATCACATTATACAAAGAATACGATATTTACATGGTTCAACATAACCTGCTGTATTCAAAGATGAGAGAAATCCAGTATATTCATAAACACATATACAATAATACACAACCCATAAAACCCGTACAAATTATAAAGCAGAAACAACCTAATTTCTAACCACGATCAACCCAGTCCTGAGCGGAAACAATCACAGTTTTCTAATATTTTTCCATGTGTTTAATACTCACATTCTCTCATAACTTGAATTGATTCTCACCCTTATATTATTGGTAGGATATGAGATATTTTTTTCTAATATATTTATATTTCAATTCTAAAAGACTCTTAAATTATATTCTATTTACAATTGTAATTTATTAATAGTTTTCCTATTCATGTATGCAATTTCATATATTACGATTACGCACTGCAGTAGTTAACATAATTTTGAAAACAACTAACTTACTAGTATTATATCTAATTAATCAAACAATCATGGTTTTGATTTTATTCTCTATATGATTCCTCTGATGTTAGAAATTTAATATATGTCAACAGAAAAAGAGCACTTTCAATTTATAACTAGTTGTGGGCTATGCAAATCTATCCTGCCCACTCTATCAAAACTAAAATAAAAAAACAACCATTAATTGTGATCGATTTAATTTGGTTTACCAAGTTAAGTAAATAATTGATATCATTTTTTGCTAATCTTATATTACCTTTTATTCGATAGGCTCTACCCAAGTTTAGCTTTTAATTCTAATAGTGTTGATTCTGTTAATGTGTTGAGTTTAAAGTTTAAACAATATGATTGCAAGGATATGTAAGACTTCTTTTCTTTATTTTCTTAGCAACAATTGAGGACAATAAAAATATTGAGTCACATTAGTTCACCATTCATAATAAATTTCAAGAGATAATCACACAATCTAAATTTTTAGATATAGTTCATATACAACTTCATTAATTATATAAAAATGAATTTATTTTCTTAATATGCTTAATTATTATGATTCTACCTAAAACTGATTTTGAAGCTTTTGACCAAGGGTAAAGATACAATAAGATTAGATACGTTTAGATACAGTTTCATAATTGGTAAAATGTCTAAATCTTTTATTATTTTTTTAATTTAAACATAGGATGTTGATTTGTATCTAAAAACATTTTTTTGATATTTTATACATCCAAATTTAAATTACGTAATATTTTTAAACGGATGTCATGATCAATTTGCACTTACTCGACTAATCTTTCAAGTGATTAGCACAACATCCATTCTACTAGTTTATTATGTTGAAATAATCACTGTTATTAAATATGTTTTGATTTTGATGAAAACTAACAAATAAGATTCTTGTCAACTAAAAATATAGATTATCCTGGAACTTCCACAATATGAATTAATGTTTGATGTTCTACATTAATAAATGACAACTTGTTAATGTTTTGATATTCTATAGGATTAATGTTGTACAAGAGAGCTAGCTTAAATCATTGTACTCGAAGTCAATAAAACTTTGGTAAATATAATTAAAATAAATTGAATGTTCCCAAAAAAAAAAAAAAAAAAAAAAAATCAATAACATCCAGGATATGATTATAACGATTGAGCAAATTTGTCCTTTCCTATGTAGCCTATATAGTAAAGAAGAAAAAACTGAACATCCACTTAGCTCTAATTTAATATATCAAACTGAAGGTCCTATAATTTCATTAATATATGGCAGTTGTAATTCAATTGAGCATTTTATTGATTTAAATATCAGTAGTAAACCATGGGTGAATCAGGAATATTTAGGACTTATTGAATGGTTTCAGTGTGTACGCCAATTCGAATTTATTTTCGTGTGGTTTGATAAATATTTTAAAATAATACCTAATAATATGCTTTTTTTTTTTTTTTGCATGAAATCCAATAGTATAAGAAATTTTATTAATAGAAAAAAAATATATAACTAATTAGAGAACATAATAACCGCTATAATGAACCACACACGTTGAATATGAACCATCACCTAAGATTAAAAACTGGCACAGAAATTTAATTATAGTTGCATTAATGAATATTTCTCAAGTATTACAAATTTAAAAGATGTAATGAAATAAAATGTTAGCACAAAATTGTAAAAGTAATCCACCCTGTATAGTTAATAATTCAATGCATTGCTTTCTTTCTAATAAAAAGCAAAAGAAAATTAATGGAGCATGCGAGGGTTTTACACCTATAAAAGTTATGATAGTATAAATACATTCTAGTCTCCCGATCATTATAATTAACTGGTGTGCATGGCCAGACAATGATTTCATTAGATACCCCAAAGCTTTGTATTCAGAGGTATAGTGCTTTTCAGAACTACTTCGGGACTACTTGAAACAATCATACTTACTAAATTTCTATGACCACCACATAAATCAAAAGAAAGTCCTATAAATAAGAAATTGAGTTGAAATATTAACTATAATCAAGACATACACACCTAGATGGAAAGTGCTAAGACTCTTAGTCACAAGCTGCTTTTAGTAGAGTTTTCATTGACATTATTTTGCTTATCTCATCACTTGCATATATTCACACTTTCAAGACATAAAACGTTAGAAAGTCGTCCCTACAGCAAGATATAATGCATAAACCTGTGACATCGTGCATGTAAAATGTTTAGCATGCAAAGAAGAATTAATATGAAGACCATAATAAAGTACCCTAAACTATATGATAAATAAATAAATATTATTATATAATATAAGAGAGAGAGAGAGAGAGAGGACTCTGCCAAAAAGTACTGAAATGTTCAATTATGTACTCTTTCTCTAAACAAGGCTTCTGAAATGTACTCATGGGTCATGAAGATTCAGCTTTATGCTTATCGGAGAAAATAAAGACTAATCACGTCGTAATCAAAACTTCAGAAATTAAGGAAATTTGAGCTCAACATAAAGGGATATCGCTCTTTAGATATGGTTTTTCTTTGTACGACAAATAACAAACACATTGTGAGACATTAATCTTGAAGTGATGAAACCAACAATGCATCATGTATAAATAACACATTTTGTTTATAGTTTCACCAAATAAACACCATCAGTAGGCATGCCTACCTTAACTATATATTTCAAGGTTTCATCAGAAATAATCGATGACAATTCTAATACTTCCTCCTAAAAAAGGGTAAAAAAAAAACTAAAATAACATTAACAAACATATATTAGTTGGCTTGATTGCATAATGACATTATGATGTTCTCAGTCAGTATCAAAGCATGGACAAAGGATAAAGACAATGCATTTGTGAATAATTATATAGAACCAGATGAAGGAAATATTGAACCATTAAGTTCTATTAGACAATTTTCTCTTCCATTTTCTTTAACTGGAAAAAAACAATTAGAGTCCTACAGCTGTATATATAGCAGAAGCAATTATAAAAAAGAAGAGAAATGTAGAAGGATAAACGAATACCACCATAAAAGCTGGATTGTGGAGTTGGTGATGGATCTGGAGACCACTGTATTAGATTAATAAAAATATGCTAGGTTTGATGAGTTTTTTGGCCAAAATGGGAAGGGAGACAAAAAGGAGGATTTACATGGGGAATCCACAATTACATAATACCAATATTTTAAGTTGTTGTGTGTATGCACCCTCAATGTTGCATTCATGCAAGACAACCAATCAACTTGTCCATGGCTAACCCACATGATTTCTTTTCTAAAAAATAATTACAAAACTATAGCCAATCAAGTTTCTTCAAAAGCCCATGAATGCCAGAAAGAAATGGGAAAAAGGAAGAGACAGCTCATTCCCTTCATTAGAATATAATATTAGTTACTTAATGTCCAAACAAAGCCTCAAAATTAAAATAAGAAAATTTCCCTCCTTACTAGGTTTATATAATTTATGTGACGTGTATATATGTATTATCAATATAATGAGAAGGTGGGTGGGGGACAAAAAAATAAAAGGTGACAATTAATAGGCCATAATATTAGATGTTATCATAAATACAAGGAGTTGACAGGCCGGTTTGAAAAGATTGACTGCTCTCTTCTCCTCCTCCTCATCCTTTACTCCCTCTCAGACTGAGAAGCAAATCTCAGATTCTCCTTGTCTCATCCCCAGGATCATGAGAGAATTAAATCCAATCTCCATGAAATGCAACTTCATATCATGAATCACTGAAAGCCTACAAAAAAAATATCGAAACAAAACAACCCACAAAGCCAACCGCCCCCCCCCCCCCCCCCAAAAAAAAAACAAAAACACCAAAAGAAAAAAAAAAAAAAATCAAGTAAAGCACTACAAAATGTTTATTATAATCCAATGATCCATCTTCAAATGTTTTCATATTCATGAAAACTAGCTACTTTTGCTTGTCTTTCACCATATCCATGGACAAATATATATAATAGAGAAAGAGATATCATATAAATATATATAGTATATAAATATTTGAGATAGCTAGCTAGAACTCATGAGAGTGGTGGTACATTGCTGGATCATGTCGATTCATGGCTTCCCTTTGGCTACTGTGGCTGCTTTCGTCATCACCATCCATTCTTGATCCCATTTGAGCAGAACCTGTAGCACCGAGATTGAGATAAACCAATCTTGAATCCAAATTAAGGTTAGCAAGATTACTTCCACTGCTACTACTATTATGTTCATGTTCGCTCATTGGTGGGTATATAGCAGTGGAAGTAGGCGCATTTACGATACCTTCTTCACGTGAAAGAACCAAAGCTGCTGATTGAACCAGCTCAAGACAAAGCCTAAGCTTATTGGGTTCGATGTGGGTTAACCCCGGAACAGCTCCTTTAAATAAAAAATCAGAAGTTAGGGTTCGAAGAATGTCTAAAGGAGTGATCCCATCAACGGTTCTCACGTTTGGGTCAGCGTGATGATCAAGAAGTACAGCAACCATATCAGGTGACACCATTTCAGCAGCTATATGAAGTGGGGTCTTACCGGCTGGCCCAGCCGGGTAGTTAACGTCGGCTGCACCAAGTTCAAGCAAGGCCTTAACCACTTCTCGACTACAATTTTCAACCGCGTAATGTAGGGCCAATGCTTCATCAAGATTTAGCCCTTCTCCCATTACCATAAGCTTGACTAGTTCAACATCAGAAGAGTCTAGTGCCCTTCTCATTCGACGAATTTTTTGGTCCTCAAGATCAGCGGCTGCAGAGAGATCATGGTGGTGATGATGGTGGGGGATTAAGGATCGGCGAGCAAGCGATGATTTGTGTCTGAGATCTTCAATTTTGGCAACCACATCGATAGGTAGGTGTTTGGCTAGGACTTCTGGTGGTAGGCCTGATTTGGCTACAAGGTGGGAACAAGTTGTCCAAAGTTGATGCATGTCTTGCTTTCTTGAAGCTATTAGTACTTTCATTACATCTTCAATTGAGGCCTTCTCTACCATGCTTGCCAGTTGCTTCTGTTGAAACCCAAAAAAAGAGGATAATAGTTAGTCAATGGAATTACAATATTTTTAAATAGAATGTGTTTGGGATGTTTCATGCAATGTTGATATCTGTTTACTCGGTGCTTTTCAAGTGGTTTGTTTTTCTTTTCCAATCTTAAAACCCAAATGAGGAAAGTGAGTGTTTGGGAAAGATTTGGTATGCTTACTGTGGAAGACAAGACTGTTGACTATAGATCAAGATCTCTAAATATAGAAAGTGTTGGGTGTTTGCAACATTTAGAAAAAGAACCCAATTCAAGAAACTCAAGATGGTAGTGCATGAAATCAAGATAACCCAAACTTATTTGATATACATCAAAAAACAAGAGACTTTTAACTCGAACAAAATAGGATCGGCATCAAGTCTGGAAGAAGAAGAAGAAGAAGAAGAAGAAGATGATTACTTCATGGACAAAATTAAAAGAATTGACACAATAATTGAATCCAATGCTTTAACAGAAACTCTGAAAAGAAACTTTCAGTAGTTACAGGAAAAGGAAAGCATTGAATCAGCACAACCCGTTTCATGGAAAGAAGAAGATGACGAATAAATTGTACGAAATTTTGGTTTTGATTGTTAAACAAAAGGCCAAACTCAGTCACTTCAACATGTTACCAGACAATAAGACTTCCCCTCTTAAGGAAAAAAAGGGGGGGAAATAGAAATAGAAATAGAAAAGAACACAACAAATAATAAACTCCACCTCAAAAAAAAAAAAAAGAAAAAAGAAAATCTCACCCCACTTCCCGAAAACCAAAGAAAGCAATTTGCTTAATAGCCAAAATCCACAGAGCATATGACTCCACATACACTAAACAAAGAAGATAGAGAAAGAGAGAGTGTGTGTATTAAACACAAAGAAGTGGTGATGACAACAAGAAGAAAACCTGAGTGAGTAATGCAAGCTGTTCAACACCAAAGTATCTAGCGGCAGCAAGAGTGTCAAGAGCAAGATCAACGGCCGAGGTGCAATGTGTATGCCAACACCCTCTCTCACCACAATTAGGCCTCGGCTCATGCTTTTGAGGAACAATAGAGACTTGGCCACTATATAAGAACTGCAACAGTAACAAGAAGACTTCATAGCCAACGGAGTTCACTGGTATAACACCACCTCTTGAAACTGGTGATGCCGGTCCCGGATTCATCCTGGAGGCAGCCGGATCAAGCCCAGATGGAGGGTCGGGTCCACAGAAGAATTTTCTGAAGAAGAGGCTCCTAGCAGCCAAGATACACCTGTGGGCATGAACTAAGCGACCCTCAACGCTGAAAGTGACATCAGAAAAGGCTTGGCCATTGATGAGCAAGTTTAGATAGTCCAGAGAAAGAGATCTTAAGGATTCTTCGAGAGTCATGGTAAATATAAAAATATGATATTAAGAGTTTAGGGTTGTTGATGAGACAAAGAGAAAGAGAGAAAGATTAAGAAAAAGAGAGGGGTGTGGTGGTGAAGATAAAAGGGAGAAAAGATAGAGTTCATTTCATAGGTTTTGTTGTTGATGATGATGGTACTGTTATTATTTTTTGGGAGAGATTCGCTAGTTCGATGGAGTTGTGGTGTTGGATATTTTGAATGAGAGAGAGAGAGAGAGACAAAGAAAGAGAAAGAGCAATATGGGTGGCTATTCTGGGCGGCTGAGCTATTTAAAATAGACATGAAAATATTATTTTATTTTTTATATATATTTTTAAAATAATGGTAGGGAAACAAATGATGTTGGTTCAGAGGAATTAGTGGATTAATTTTGATGAGTTAATTATATTTACCCTTGGGGTGGATTAAAGTTTTAAAATACTACAATACACCCTCTAATTATAACAAAGGTTAAGAAAAAATTAGATAATCGGAGCAAAATTTGAGCTCTTAAAAATAAGATAAATCAAAATAGGGTATTCTGGTTTATAAACAATTAAAAAAAAAAAAAAAAAAATCTTCCCAATTAATCGACTATGTAAATTAAATTTAAATGGGTAAATCTTAGTATTTTAAAATTCAGGACTTAGACTTAGTTAAACAAAACCTTATGGTGAAGAAAGTCTCTAATCCAAATGGATATTATTTATGCAATTTGAACTATGGAGATCATAATAATATTCTTTATGACTTGATTCTGCTGACTTGTACACAAATGTAGTCATTGCCATTTTTCTTTTTTAATTAAAACACTAACAACTTTTCAACGTATTATTAATCAAAGGGTTAATTAAGTATAAAGAAAAGATTAGCTTGATTAAATGACCTTTAAAGGTTATGTTGAAGACACATGCACCTACAGTTTAGGACTTTTTAATTATTATTTTAATTTTTTGGTTGGCATCAAGATTTCTCTTTTTTTTTTTTCTTTTTTTTTTTTTTCCTTTCTTTCTTTCTTGTTAAATTAAGCAGTGAATTGATCGTTCGAAATCAATCAAAATCATAAAAGTTAATCTGTATATTGTATAAAACTTTATTCTAAAAACTAAATTTAATTGTAAAAAAGACCCACCTTTAAATTAGCATTATATGGTACCCAATCCATTTGGTCAGGAAGTCGTGCTAATTAATTCAAGGCATGAGGTATGACTGATATTAGAAAATACGTTTAAATTCATCGAAGTTGGTAGTTTAATTAACAATTTAAATTGGTTGATATTAGAAATTTAAAATAATTAAAAATTAATTATTGAAAGTCATTTCAATAAGCTTGAATATTCAAGGTGGGTGTTCGAAATGTTACTTCTTTAAAGGAGGGGAAAAAATAACTTTTACCTTGTAAAACATAAAGAATTTAGGACCATTGATTACCTTCGATTTCTTAATTGGAATCTCAAACTTATATGAAGTGTGGTAGCATTTGAATCACTCAGCTTCTTGGTGGTTGCCAACATACAATTCTTTTATGTGATCTATATAAACCCAAATTATTGCTTTAGGAACCCAATATTTCAGTACAAACAAATGCAGCTGATCACTAAAAGAATTTTATGGTTGTTAATCAAAATGCTAGATTGTCTTTGGTAGAGTATTTAGAGTAGTATTTTTGAAAAAGTTGAGTTGAGTTAGAGTTATTATTACGAGAATAGGACTTAAATTTAAAAATGTGTTTGGTAAATTTTTGAAAAATATTTAGATTATTTTAACTCTCTACATTTGTTAATTTAGCTAAACACCCCCTACAATAAAAGTTTTTAAATTAACAAAAAACACCCCCACTCACCCATTAATTGCCAATAGTCAGCTACCACCGTCAGACGATGGTCGGAAGTCACCGAAATAGTGCACGACCAACTGAATTTGGTCGGTAGTGCGCCGATCTAGCATTTTTTGATCAAATCCATGGTGGATTTAGTCGAAAAATGCCAGATCGGTGCACGAACGGTTACATCCAATTGGTCATGCGCCACTCCGACAAATTCTAGCCACATTCCAACGATGGTGGTCGACTGCCGACATTTAATGGGTGGGTGAATGTGTTTTTGTCAATTTATAAATTTTTATTGTTGGGGATATTTAGTTAAATTAACAAACCTAAGGGATTAAAAAATTAAATATTTTGAGTTGAATAGACTAGGATTGGATTTTGAGAATATTAAAATAAATATGTATTTTGATAAGATTGGATATGATACAGTTTGAATAGGGAAACAAACGCAACCTAATTTTTATTGAGTAACACTAGCCTTACAAAGAGACATATAAGGAGCCATATAAAGAGACAATCCCCACCCTTAAAATTCATGATTGCCTCTTTCTCTCTTTCATTTTCCCTTCTTTTAAGGACAGTGATTATCTCTTTGTATGACTTTTTGTATGCCTCTTTATAAGGTTAGTGTTGCTCATTTTTATTAGTTTCTTTAGATACACTGATACACATCATTCATCGCTCCATGATTATTATTTTATTTATTTCCAAGTAATATTTTTTTCTCAATTTGTTTTTAAGTTCTATAATTTCTCAAAGTATGTACAATTAAGGTAATACCATTAGTAGATAACAAAAGATTTCTAAATTGTATAATAAGAAAATTTCCCTATAATTGATGAGAAAATCAAATAAAAAAAAAAAAAAACAAAATTGGGATGGTGGTTAAAGCAGTGATAAGGGAATAAACCATACAAAAATGAAAGTTTGAATACACTTGTACGTAGATGGAATATTCAGAAAAATAAAATTGAAGAAGTACAAGGTTCGTTGAATGGAGAATAATAAAATAAGATTAAATTGGTGGTAAAAAGAAAAAAAGAGATGAAAATGGTAAAGTAAGATTAATCAGTGTTAAATATGGAGATAAGAGAAAGGGAATTAAGGAGTGGATGGGGGAGGTGAAGGTGAAGTAGGGACACAGAGAGACAGAGAGGGCATAGAAAAATGTGTCGGTTGGGAGAAGAGGATTCATATTATTCATATTATTGGGACTGATGCCAACTATTAACTTAACATTATAAAATTATTTTTTTTCTGAACCACAAATGCACGTGAGACAACACTTGGCACGTGCATTAAAAGAGAGGTTTACACTTAATACTGTTACACACTCAGGGTCTACAGGGAATTAGTACTACTACTCTTTCCTTTTGTTTGTTGTTTTGTACATAACAAAGGAGTAAGTAAAAAAGAAGAAGCTATTGTTTTGCCGGGCTTGTTGAATTTAATTTTTATTTAAATAAAAATTGAAATTTTGAAATACAACAAAATCCAATCGATTGACAACACATCCACTGACTGTCTTATGATTTCAAGACCCTTGATTTGACGTTTGACTTGTCTTTTCAATGCCCATCTCTTTTTTTTTTCTCTCTCTCTCTCTCAAAATCTAACCTACAAATACAAATACGAATACAATTGGTATCTTCTATAACCAATCACTTACTTTTACCATTTTGTATAGGGTATCAATCAATATTGCGGTCTGGCAATGTTGCATGATTGGGTGATATAAGAGGGTGAATTTGATTCATGGAATATTGTATTATTAAAAATGTTATATTAATAGAAAGATAAATTATTTGAATATTATTATAAATATTTAAGAAAATGTGTTTGGTTAGTTAGAATAAATTGGTGGGTATGTTATATTAATATATTTGGTTGAAAGGAATAAATTCATAGATATGTTATATAATTTACTAAATTGCCCTACTTTTTAAATATTAATATAATATTATTTTTTGAATGACTTTTTTAACCCCCTATATTTCAAATTTAACTAAAAAATCCTAGCAACAAAAAAAGTTTAAGATTTAACAAAAACACCACCACTCACCCCAGGCCGCTAGTGACGAGGAGATTTGGCTGTGAAACGACTGTCATTTCATAGCCAGATCTGGTTGTTTTCGATCATGGATCACAGATCATGTTTGGAAACGACCTTACCGACACATGGCCGACAAGATCCGGTCAGCCATGCGCCATTCCATCGCCGTCGCCGACTAGCGATGGTGGCTAGATTCGGCCACCACCATTGGGTAATTTTTTTAAAGTCTAGGAATATTTATGTCCTAAAAAGTTATATATAAGGATAAAATAGTCTATGAATATATTTTTTAAAATTAATTTTAAAATAAGGGTATTTTTGTTCAAAATTTTTATTAATAAAGGATAAAATTGTAACAAAATTAAGATTACAAGTAATTTTAAAAAACCTAAGAAAATGGAGGTAATTAGATTACATTCTATATTATCAACAATAAATACTATTGGTTTTGGAAGATTACCGGAATCTTATATTACTTGATAACCAAACGTGGTAATCAAATAATATAATATGATATTAAAATCTCCTATTACCCTCAGCCAAACACACCCTTAGGGTAAACGTGTCCGTTTTCTAGTTTAAAATGTTATGAAGAATATTTAATCAAGTAATATAAGATAACAAGTGCTTAAGGTTTATTTTAATAATATAAGATTTTTTTTGTTATATTGTTGTTTTAAAAATCATATATTTTTTTTTTATACATTAAAAAATGAATATACATAATCATTATAGGTAATTTTCATATATCTATATTTAAGCTAGAATACATTAAAACACTAATTATCTACCATGGTCCATGGCTAAATCCAATAGACTTTAAAAAGAAGGTTGAATATAGTTATTTTTTGTATCACCTTGTCAACTTTTAAACCAATATATTGTAATGGATTACTAGCTATAAATTAGTGTTATAAATTTAAGTTATATGTTACAAATCAAAAGGTTAAATTTTTACCAAAGTTATAGGTGAGAAGAAGAGATCTTATTTTAGGTGGTATTTGGAAACTTTTTGAATTAAAATAAGCCTGTTGAATTAAGTTAAAAGCCGAAACTTTTTGCTTTTTCCATTAAGAAGGATATGATTGATTCTTAGTTTTATGTGGTGATATCGAACAACCAATAAATATTTGAATATAAAAGATTATTTTTTGGCCAAAACAAACAAAACCTTACTTTGGCCATGCGGATTCTTCAAGTTGATATTTATGGTTCACAACCTTCTCATATGGAGTAGAGAGCTTGAAAATGCTGATAAAGAAGAGTGAAAATAAAGGCAAATCACTAAGGTAAATGTGAAAATCTAATAAACAAATTAGATAAAGTGAGATCTACCTTGGAGAGGATTACGTAGATTTAAC